TTCTGGTGGATTCTAGATGATTATTTAGGAAATCCTAACTGGGCCGTCAGCTTACTGTTCTGTACTGGTTGATTCCATACAAGCAGTCAGTTAGGCGCGTGGAAGCGATCCAAGTGTGATTAAATTCACGGCGCACGGTGAGCCTCGTAGCTCAGTGGTAGAGCTTTGGCTGCGCAAAAGCCTACCCTGCTGTGTGTAGGTTCGAACCCCACCGAGGTCGCGAATTCCTCACAATTGGCTCAACTGATTTCTACTGAATAATCAAAAATCAGTCCAGTGTGTTTTCCAACTGCGACCTTCTTTCAGTCCTGAGTCTTTAGAAAATCTGCCCAACGAGGTATCCTCTTTCCGCTACCTTCGTGTTACTGTGACATCCAATCATTCATTAGAATTCCCATACTTTTTACTGCATTCTTCATTTGCATTCTTATCACACATCTTGCTCCTTAATCTGGCTTCTAACTTGGCCATCCCGCCCACACCCACATCGAGTAGTCTTAACAATGTCTTGTCACTGGAAGTCGGTCAGCAAGTCTGTCCCCGTGTGTACTCCACGCGGCCGTGGTCGTTCACGGTGACCGACGTATCATGTGTGCGCATGTCCATGTAATTATTTTTACTACTTTTTCGGCCTTCAGTGATCTTCGGGGAGTTAGACCAATTTCTATGACTAAAATGTGAAAGTCAATATATAATTCGTCCCGTCGCGGGGAGGGATAAATGAGGTCAAACATGCAGTATGACAGTTTTTGTTATATTCAAATATAAGATAAAAACGCCAGATAAAGTGGTCCTTGGTCGAGTAGTTCTTGGTCGAAATAAGCAGCTCGGGGTTCAACTCAGACTTCGGTTCCCCTCTCACAACACGAATATGTCGCAAAAGATTTTGTGAAAAAGTCAACCCAAAACAAGTAAAACACGAGGGAAAAGGAAGTGAACGGTCTGTTGGCCTTCCCATAACGCATCCAGCAATATCACAGCCAGCTCACCAACTAAACAGAGATGTCTATGCTTGGAGGCCTCTGGCATGCGCTGCTTAGCTTCTCACGCCTGCGACATGGAGCCGCTGTCGGGGATCTTTCCAGCCAGCACTGTAGAAGTTGGCGATTGTACTCCGAGGTTAGTGAGGTTCGGGACTGAAATCTTCATCTGTGGCATTGAAAGCACATTCAGCGAGGTCGGAGCCACCGGCGACTGCAGACTGGGGGTACAATTGGAGACACCCAGTGAACCTCCACAGACCGCGGTTGAAGAGGGTGGTAAGAGTGGCGTTGGTAGGGTCTGGATCAGGGGCAAAAGATTACCCACTTTTGATGATCCGTTTGTGTGGCCAAAGGGTGGCAAAGCGCTACTGCCGTTTTGGCAGTTTGCGTTGGAAATGAGGTCAGATTTCAAGGTGCCGGTTTGATGACTCGTAATACCACCAGGCCCCAGGCTGGGGCTTTGACATTGCTGAGGACTAATTGAAGTTCCCATGGCATTAACCGCTGCATTGATGCTTGTGGGGTCCAAAAATACGGCCCCGGCAGGTATCACACCGCTGCAGGGGAGAAAGTTGGTGGTTGTCAGCCGATTTGGAAACAATTGTGCCGAATAGTCAAGCAAGGGGTTTGGAAGTTGCAGATTTGGCAGCTGACCCAGAGGCAAGGTGCCTTCGTTGCCCGGCAGAGGCAAAAGTTGTGGGAAGGTAGAAGATCCAGTAGCCGAGGGATACAAACCGGTGGGGCACTGAAGAGTCGTTGGTAGCGGCGGAAATGATGAATTTCTTGGAGGTGCATTCTGTTGAAGAAGCATGGGGACGACTGGAGGCTGGAGACCGGATGAGCAGTTTCCATTGGCCATAGTACTTGCGAACGGGTTATTCACTAAAAAAAGCGAAAAGGTACGATTGGTGAATTGGGAAGAGTAAAAGGCTACAAATTTGGTAGAAACTCAACTAAACGAAACACTTTCAACCACAACAGCTCTTACTACTGAAGGCTCGACTTAGAGTTGGCACATAATTTGTCGGTACAAGCATATTCTGCTGCGTGGCATGAGTTGTGGGCATCAGCGGCTCAAATAGGACATCATTGACTGCAAGCTGTGAGTCTTCATTTGGCGGCAAATTGCACATGCTGGACATCATCTGAGGCATCGGTGTTAAGGTGGATAGCGGCGTCTGGGATACTTGGAGACCTCCTGGGGCTAGGGCGTACCTAGTGCACTTGCTTGGACATAGAATAGCGGGATTTGTTGCTAGGTGACATTCCACACCGGGTACAAAATTGTCCCTTGGTGAACTGACGCTCGCCACGTCCCCCCGACTGCCGATGTCACATTCTGTGGTATAGGACCTATCGTCCGAGC